GGGGCCCCTCCCCCAGCCGCTGCCCGGGGCTCGCTCTCTTCTCGCTCTCCGCCTGGACACGGCTCTGCAGACAGTCACTTTTCTTTGGCAGCGGGACTGGTGTCCATCGCTATCGGTGTCTGTGTGTGTTGAGCCCCTTTCCTGGCCTCAGCTGTGCCAGACCTGCAGCTTGGCTCTGGATACTTGTAAATCTCTGTTGAAATACCTGCTGCTTGCCTGTGCCGCAGACGTTGCCCGCTGTCAGATGCCTGCCCTTCCCCTGGCACTGCGTGGCAAAGCAGAGCTCCGCGGCTCTGTGCGGCCGGCTCTGCGCTGTTCCCCTGCTCGGGTTTGTAAGTGCAGATCTCTCTCGCAGCACCTGAAGAAAAGCCGCCAGATTGAGGCAGAGATGATGTACGGAAGCACCCCGCGGACACCCATCAAGCGGCGAGTGCTCGGCCCCCACACACCTGGCAAAGTAAGGAAGGTAAACTGTCTGCGCGAAGCAGCGTAGGTGTGCTGGGACCCCGCCGGGGGCTGAGCGCCGTCGCTCGGCTGGAGCTCTGCCTTGCCTTGGGCTGGCCTCGGTCCCGCGCAGAGATGCAGGGAGGGTTCAGGGTGCTGTGGCGGCATGATGGACGCAGGGAAAGGGCCCAGGCCACAGGCACCTCTGTTCTCCCTGGGGACAACCAAGCCCATTGCGCTGTGGTGCTCTGGAGGCAGAAGGCTCTGCAGCCGCCGGCTCCCTCCCCAGCTGACGTGTGCTCCACTTTTCCCCTCAGCTCAACGGCACGTCCATCTCCAGCGCCACACCCAACAGCACCGTTCGTTCAGCTTTTGGGGGAACCATCTACCACTCGCCAACATCTCGGTTGCCACCTTCCGGAGGGAAGGTAAGGAGCTTTCCCGGGAGTTGCTGGGTGGGCTGGGGAGGAGATGGGTGAGCTCCGACTGCTGTGTCGCATTGCATATCGCTGCCTCCCCTGCCAAGCTCCTGGAGTGCAAAAGCCCCTGTTTGTCCATAGCCTGCCGTGTTGGGCTGCCACGATCCTGGCAGGATATTTCTGGGACCTGGAGGATGAGGAGGAGGGTAGTAGCAGCATTCAGGCAGTCTTCCTCCAGCCCGGATTTCTAGCATGCCTCTGTGCTGAGCCTGCAGCTTGGGGGACCTTCAAAATCTGGGTGTGGTGCTGTGTGTTTCTGGGATTGGAATTGAGGCCTAGACCACGGAGGGCTCCTGGAGCTTGAAACTATTCTGGTACCACAGAGCGACAGGCAGTGAAGCTAGCGCGGCTCTCCTAGCTCTGCTTGATTCTTGTGCCCTGTCTAACTGTTGCTTCTTCCCATAGTTTGGCCAGGCTCGGACCCCCAGCCGCGTGGCTGCAAAGCCCCCCCGTCCTGGACACAGGGAGAGGAACAAGGAGAACGTGTCCCAGCTGAACGGAACCACCCTGAGCGGTGGGTGCACCCCCACAGCCCCTGCCCAGCGTAACCACAGCGTTAATTCTGTTGCCAGCACCTATTCTGAGTTTGCGGTAATTCACCTCTTCTAAACCCGCCTCCCCTCGCTGGGCAGCACAGGGGCTGTGCTCCCCCCCCTCCCAGAGCGCCCCATGGGGCTGCAGCTCCGCACAGCCCTCCCAGTGCCCCCGCGCAGAGCAGCTTGTTCTGCCAGCGCCCGTGGCAGCAGATCTGTGGGCTCTGCATTGAGAACTTAAAATTGAGGTTTGGTGGCTGAGGCCGAGCACTGCTCACGTCACGTAAAGGCCCTGAGCAGCCCAGGGGGGAGCAGGCACACACGCAAGACAAAGGCTGGTGGCGGGGGCACCTCCCAGCCCCGGGCAGGGCAAAGCCGTACGTGGCCCAGGCCCTCTGGAACAGCCCGCTGCAGGGATGCAGCCGCTCTCCCGAGGTGGGTCTGCTTATGGCTGCTTGAGCAAAGTCCCCCCCGTCCCTGAGGTCCGGGTCCCTTGATGCAGTGTGTCGCGGGGTGGCGACGCTCCCCCGCCTCTCCAGGGGCTGCAGCGGGGTGCCCTGGGCCGCAGGCAGCAGCAGCGCTCTCGCTGCCCAAACTCCATCAGGGGGAGAGGGAGGGTGCGGGTTTGCGATGGAGGCAGACTCCTGCTAGGTGTTCCCTTCCTCCAGCAGCCGGGCATGGCTGTCCCCGTCCTCCTGCTTCCCTTGGCTGAGGGGCAGCCTGTCTGCTTTCCGCTGACCTAGCAGAGTGATTCCCAGGACAGGCAGCCTGCCTGCTGCCAGCTGCAGGAGGGAGGGATGCAGTTCCCAGCCTGGGGCTGTTTGGGCAACAGCTACTCCTGCTTCTTGGAGGCTGATGGGCTCCGAGTTTTCTCAGCTACTCGCTGCTAAGGCTTTCCTGCCCTCTTCTGAAGCAAGACAGGGTGGGGAGCCCAAACAAACCAGCAGGAGCAGCTTCGCCTGCCTGG